GACTCTGGGGTTGCGGCACTCATCTCGCTTTATTGGCCAAGGAAGCCGGCGTACAGCTTCCAGGTCATGTGGCCAGCATGACTAAGCCGCTTCTGGCGAACCAGAGCAGCGCACAGAAACGCCGTTTACTTTCCCGCCGGAGCGGTACCTATTTATCTACTTGCACTTTGACGTGCTTTCAGACTGCTAGGTTGGCAGGAGCTGGGACCGAGCAACGGGAGCTCACCCTGTCGCGGGGATTTGAACCACTGACCTTCTGATTGGCAAGTCCTAGGCTCTGTGGTTTAACCCACAGCGCCACCCACGTTACTCACCAGCAAAGGCCCTTAGCCACGGTGAAGGGCATTGCTGGATCGTATAGCATTCTATTAAATGCCAGCTGGTCCGCTATATTAATTCCACTTTTGGCTGGTTGAACAACAGCAAGGAATACACCCGTCCGGGCCTGACTGCGGAAGCAACCTATGACAGCAATCCTGATTGTCACCAAACACCTGCAGCGCCTTGAAAATGGAAGCAAAGCATCAAATCAGCGTGCTCCTTCAGAAGCTCAAGGAAATATGGAAATGGATTGCAATCACCGCCATTGGCAGGGGAGGTGGGTGGGAATCACAAAGATGATGAAAGAGCTGGCTTTGTAATCTACTCATCACGCCGCGATTTTCTTGCCTCTGCATATTAATTACAAATCTATCAAGTCTCGTGCTTGGGGGAGAGACAGAGAGAGTGAGAGAGTTGCCTCCTCAGCGCTGAATATTTCTAAGTGGGCAGCAGGCCAAACTCCCTTTTGGGTTGCAGCAGAGAGCCAGTTTAGCCAAGAGTGGGGAAGGAGAGAGAAGCAAAAGAACTGGTATTTGAGATGAAAGCCACGATGATGGCTGACATTTTGCAGAATTCTAAGTGAGCTAGTCAAGGTCCTTTTAGTGAAGTGACATGGAACACATCTGATTCATGAGAAAGAGGTGGGGTCAAGAAAGCGCTGAAGAATTCAGGGAGTTTTTTGTGGAGATTAAACGAGGAGGGAGTGAAACATGTAAAGGTAAAGGGACCCCTGACCATTAGGTCCAGTTCTGACCGACTCTGGGGTTGCGGCGCTCATCTTGCTTTACTGGCTGAGGGAGAACCAGAGCAGCACACGGAAACGCCGTTTACCTTCCCGCCGGAGTGGTACCTGTTTATCTACTTGCACTTTGGCATGCTTTCGAACTGCTAGGTTGGCAGGAGCAGGGACCGTGCAACGGGAGCTCACCCCGTCGTCGGGATTCGAACCACCGACCTTCTGATCAGCAAGTCCTAGGCTCTGTGGTTTAACCCATGTACACCACCTCAAACTCCTTGGAGAAAAAGGTGGGATGGAAATGCAATCAGTCAATCAATCAATCAATCAATCAATCGAATAGAATAGAAAATGTCACTTTCAAATCGCAACCATAGAACGGGCAGAAGTAGAGGAAGAAAACACAGCAGTGAAAACTTTAATGGGAAATAGCTAGAGAACAGATGGGGAGAGGAAAAAATGATAAGGGATGAATGCAGATCAGCGAGGGGAAGGATGAGGTCAAAGCACATCTGACTCATATGAATTAATCTAACTGAGCTGCACCTGACAAAATACACCCTCGGGTGCCAAATGAACTTAGCAGTTTTTCAGATCCAATGCCAATTACCTTTCTCTGAGAGATAGGTCCTCTCGTTGAGGAGGGCCCAAGGAATTATTGACAAATTAGTTTTGATTTCAAACCCTGGGAAATTATTAGGCAGAGGAAAGGTTACGAAGGGATCCACCTGCGAGTGCCCAGAGTCATTTTGCTTTGGACCACAAATCCCATCACAGCACAGGGGCTGTCAGGTGGGTGGAGGCTGACCTAGAGAATAGAGTGGTGATTGACAGCAGCCAACCCAGAACAATCCAATGCTCTTCATTTTGCAGGACACACCTGTGCTGGTAGGTATGGATATTTTCCCCAATGCAACATGCCAGGATATCAGCAAAGGTCCCTCCCCCCACTCCAAAAAGGGTTCCTATTTTGTGACCAATCTGGGGTGTCTTTTCCATTTGTATGAATGGCATCAGATACTTATTTATTGTTATTTTTTGTTGTTGTTGCCTGAAATGGCATTCAAAGTGTTGCACACATACCTATTAAAACAATAGATTTTTTTTAAAAAAGCAAAAGCCTAAATTATAGTGGTACCTCATGTAACATACGCTTCAGGTTACATACATTTCAGGTTACAGACTCTGCTAACCCAGAAAAGTACCTTGGGTTAAGAACTTTGCTTCAGGATGAGAACAGAAATCGTGCTCTGGTGGCGTGGTCGCAGCAGGAGGCCCCATTAGCTAAAGTGGTGCTTCAGGTTAATAACAGTTTCAGGTTAAGAACGGACCTCCAGAACGAATTAAATACTTAACCCGAGGTACCACTGTAAATTAAAAGAAATTACAGAGTCAGCAAAATGATTTAAAAAGCACACAGGAACCAGTTTTCTAAAGTGGCACTAACTGTCCGGGAGAATTTTAGGAAGGTAACTCTGGTGGTGAAAACGATCTTCTGGATCCCTTTGAATCTGGTGCCAGACTCATCTTGGCTGCTGTGGTCGATGATCAGTATGAAAGAAGAGGGAGTGAGGCTGACGTTGTGGATTTTCCGGGAGCTCTTATTAACTTTCGGAACTATTGGTCATGGTATTCAACTGGACCAATTATCTTAACTGGGGGTTGAGACGCTGTGTCGTGGTGGTCCTGCTCTTCACTAGAGATTAGGTTCCAGAATAAGATTCCAAGGCTCAATAAATTATCAACTGACCCAGACCCCGCAATTGTCCCAAGAGGTCTGGAGGATGGCAACATGAGAACGGGGCCTTTTAGGCAGTGGCTCCCATTTGTGGAATGCTCTCCCTTCACCTTTAGGCACCAGGCAAAAACGTTCTTCTTCAGCCAGGCCTTGGGTTGATTAACATTCTTCCATCATTTAAATGTGTTTATAGGAGGAGGGTTATTTGCTTGTTTTTGTTTTATTATGTATTTTGTGCTGTAGTTTTGTATTTTTATGTTTTGAACCACCCTGTGATCTTTGGATGAAGGGCAGTGCAGTGGTACCTTGGTTCTCAAATGCCTTGGTACTCAAACAACTTAGAACCCAAACACTGCAAACCCGGAAGTAAGTGTTCTGGTTTGCGAACTTTTTTCAGAAGCGAAACGAGTTTCGTTTTAAGTGCGACACTTCTGTTTTGAGTGTTACGCTGCGGTCTTGTCTGTTTTTACTATTTATTTTGCATTTTTGTTTTTGCGGCTTTTCTGTTTTGTTTTTGTGACTGTGTGGAAACCAGTTCAGCTATTGATTGATTGATTGTGTGACTGCAGTACATTGCTTATTGCTTTCATTTTATGGATCGATGGTCTCATTGGATAGTAAAATTCATGTTAAATTGCTGTTTTAGGATTGTTTTTTGAAGTCTGGAATGGATTAATCCATTTTGCATTACTTTCTATGGGAAAGCGTGCCTTGGTTTTGGAACGCCTTTGGTTTTGCAACGGACTTCCGGAACGGATTAAGTTTGAGAACCAAGGTTCCACTGTATACAAATTATTATTATTATTATTAACCATAACATTCAAAACATCCCAGGTTCAGTCCCCAGTATCTCCAGGTAGGGCTTGGAGAGTCCCCAGTCTGAACCCCTGAAAACCACTGCCTGACAGTGTAGACAGTTTGGAGTTGGATAGGCCAATAGTCTGACTCAGTATAAGGCAGCTTTCTATCTTCCTAAGCCTCTTGCTTTTGCTTCATGCTGCAGAAATGGGGGTCAGGCACTGATGGATCACAAGACGTGTTTAGCAGACTTTGTTCATTTTGGTAGGTCACATGTTCTGCTGGCTTGGTCTAGATTGAATTTTCCATTTTCCATTCTAAAGGGGAGGAAAAGATCCCTCCTCTGATCTGATCCAGGCTTAGAGACGGTTGCAGCTAGCACCTCTCAGCCAGTGTGGTGTAGTGGTTAAGAGCGGTAGATTCGTACAGTGGTGCCCCGCAAGACGAATGCCTCGCAAGACGAAAAACCCGCTAGACGAAAGGGTTTTCTGTTTTTCGATGCGCTTCGCAAGACGAATTTCCCTATGGGCTTGCTTCGCAAGACGAAACGTCTTGCGATTTCTTGCGATTTTTTTCGCTCCCCCCCCCTTTTTCTAAGCCGCTAAGCCGCTAATAGCCTTTTAGCTGCTAAACCGCTAAGCCTTTAATAGCCGCTAAACCGCTAATAGCGCTAATCCGCTAAGCCGCTAATAGGGTTGCTTCACAAGACGAAAAAACCGCTAGACAAAGAGACTCGCGGAACGGATTATTTGCGTCTTGCGAGGCACCACTGTAATCTGGTGAACCGGGTTCGCTTCCCTGCTCCTCCACATGCAGCTGCTGGGTGACCTTGGGCTAGTCACACTTCTCTGAAGTCTCTCAGCCTCACTCACCTCACAGGGTGTTTGTTGTGGGGGAGGAAGGGAAAGGAGAATGTTAGCCATTTTGAGACTCCTTCGGGTAGTGATAAAGCGGGATATCAAATCCAAACTCCCCTTCTTCTTCTTCTTCTTCTTCTTCTTCTTCTTTTTCTTCTTCTTCAGGCGGAGCTCATACTGTTGCAATGCAAATTTTGCCGAACAAATTCCCTTCAATGTTTTATGACGGAGAGAAATTGCGCACACCCCCTTAGGCCAATTAACATCATCTCATTTCTAGTCCTGCTAACATTAACGTCAACAAGGAATGCAATGACAGGGCAGCAGTCGGCGAGAAGGGACACACTGTTAACGTTTGCATGCAGAAACACTGCTCTCTAATGCAAGTTGTCGGAGGAATGCAAGCATGAGCGAAAACTCTCATTTTTTGTTCCTTCCATTTGAATGTGAAGACAGTCTAATTGGGAAGAAACCATGGGTCAGTAGGATAGCACATGCTAGCATGCAGAGCGTCCTAGATTCAGTCCCTGACATCTTCATTTAAAAGGATCTCAAACAAAAGTTGGTCATCTCATCAGATGCAAGGCTTCCATTGAAAGCAGAGGCTGTGTGGTTCCCTTTGTGAGATCATCTGAGATAAATCTTGCGATGCGACATGTCATTGCCTTGTGACTTTCGGCACTCCACTTCACTGGAAGCTTCTTGTGATGGGCGACATTGCCGCTCAGTATTGAGGGGCCCCAGACCCCCCCCCCGAAGAAATTGGGCGGAGAAGCCAAAGTCCCTTGCCCACCCATCCCCAGTTGGCACACCAGACAGCAGGCAATTCTTATAAGTGGAACGACTGATTTTGAAGAAAAGGCCAGCCAAAATTCTAACACTTATTCATCCCAGTAATACTTTATTTAAAAAATTGGTTGGATGGGGTGGTTTGCAATATATATATATATATATATATATATATATATATATATTCAAATCAGGTGAATTATAAGAACTGTCTTTAAATATGAGGTCGCCTTGATATTTGTAATACAGTCGTAACTTGGAAATTGAACAGAGCCGTCTTTCCCATAGGGCTTAGTGGTGCGTTGCGCTAGGACGCCGGCCTCTCAGGGGTGCCCCAGCAAGTGGGGGAGCTGCACGGCTTTGCCGGCAGCCTCCCCTTTCCCTGCAGACCCACCAGCTGCACCCCTCCATCCATAAGGCTGGCAGGTGTGCAGCTTCCCTCCAAGCCTCCTCGAGAGGCGAGCGATCCCTGCAGAGGCTTAGGATGGAAGCTGCGCCCCACCAACCATATGGCTGGTGGATACGTAGCTTCTCTCCCAAGCCTCTGCGGGGATTGCTCCCCATGGCTGGCAGTGCGCAGCTACGGCCACCCCAACACTGTCAATGGTAATTTGGGGGCGCTGGATGGATTGCACCCCGACACCGCATCTGCTAAAGACGGCCCTGAAGTTGAATGTAATCCTTTCCAGAAGTCCGTTAGACTTCCAAAACAGTGCGGCTTCTGATTGGTTGCAGGAAGCTCCTGCAGCCAATTGGAAGTCGTGCCAGACGTTCAGGTTCCAAAGAACCTTCGCAAACCAGAAAACTCACTTCTGAATTTGCGGCGTTCAGGAGCCAAAACATTTGAGAACTAAGATATTCAAAAACCAAGGTACGACTGTACAATGAATGGAGATAGATATCTCCTGGGTGCTTCCTTCGACACGCACAACCTAAACGCTTCCACCCCGGAATTCCATGTCTCCTACGTTCCACTACAAAAGCACACTTTCTGCCATTGCAGATTGCAAGCCTCCTTTTGTCTCCTGGCCAGCCTTGGCTCAGCGTTGGGGCTTTCCAAGACACGAGTTCTTCCGCACACGCTTTCCGCAGGCTTTGAGTTACGACCTACAGCTCCGGTGCCGTAAATATCCACTCAATATGTGCGCTGGCCCACGATTGGCCGCCGCTGGAAAATGAGCAAGGCATGTTGATGAGGGACGGGAAATGACGGCTCCAGAGAGAACAATAAAAACCAGGCAGGAGATGCTACGACGGCATGCAAGAGAGCTGAGGGAAGGGAGTTGTTGGAGGGGGGTCTGCCTTTATATATATATTTATATATATATTTATTTATATATTTATTTCTTTTTACTAGCAGCCTTTCTGCCTAATTACTGCCTGCCGTAAAATAATCTGGTTTATTGCTCCCATCCAAGGCAGGAAGAATTTTCCCTGAGAGCGCTGCATGCAGTGTGCCGCTGCGCTAGAGAGGAAATACTTTTGCCGAGTGCTCTGTATATATAGATTGCCTAAAAACGTTAGTCGATTTGCATTAAAAATGGCGTTTGCTCCTTAAGTGGTCCCTGCCTTTAGTTAGGTTGTTTCCCCCTTTGCTTCCTGGTGAGCAAAGATGGCTTCCGCTATTTGCCCGCAGGGCATTGTGTCCGGAACAGCCGTTGCCAACCTGGGGCCCACCTGATGTTTTGAACTACAACTCCCGTCAGAGCTGTCTGTTTTCATTAATCCATCAAAATGGGTTGGTAAAGAGGTAAGGTAAAGGATCCCTGGATGGTTAAGTCCAGTCAAATAATAATCATAGTATAATAATAATTTATTATTTATACCCCACCCATCTGGCTGAGTTTCCCCAGCCACTCTGGGCGGCTCCCAATCAAGTGTTAAAAACTGTACAGCATTAAATATTAAAAACTTCCCTGAACAGGACTGCCTTCAGATGTCTTTTAAAGATAGGATAGCTGCTTATTTCCTTCACATCTGAAGGGAGGGTGTTCCACAGGGTGGGCGCCACTACCGAGAAGGCCCTCTGTCTGGTTCCCTGTAACCTCACTTCTCGCAACGAGTAAACCACCAGAAGGCCCTTGGCGCTGGATCTCAGTGTCCGGGCTGAACGATACCTTCAGGTATACAGGATATGGGATATGATCTCTGCTTTCAGGCTGAGGGAGCCGACGTTTGTCTGCAGACATCTTTTCCAGTTCATGTGGCCAGCATGACTAAACTGCTTCTGGCTCACGGAGGACTATGACGAGTGCCAGAGTCCCCGGAAACACCGTTTACCTTCCCACCGTAGCAGTACCTATTTATTTACTCATGCTTTCGAACTTCTAGGTTGGCAGGAGCTGGGACAGAGCAACGGGAACTCACCCCGTCGCGCGGATTCAAACTGCTGACCTTACAATCGGCAAGCCCAAGAGGCTTGGTGGTTTAGACCATGGCGCCACCTGCGTCCCTTATCACAATGGTATGTCTATGGGGACAGGGAGGTGATCTGATCTGCTAGCTACTGAGGCAAGCAGCCACCTTGCCCTGATTAGTGTCCACTGGTGAGCCGCCATTTTCAATTTCCCACAGTGCCTCCAGTTTAGCATCACTCTGGGGTCATTGCAGGGGAATTGAAACAGTGCTTGTTTGTTTGTTATTTGCCTGGTGCTAATCAGTGGGCCCAGAGCAGGTGTCAGTACTGGGCCTGCTGGGTCTCTGGGTACCGCCTGAAGATGCCTCGTGCTGATGTCAAGCCTATGCCTGCAGCACGAAAAGTGACAGATTCTTTGGGGAATAATGCTTTGCAACGGGTACAGCTGAATGCATCAACCGGTCGTCAGTTTTCCTCCTAATCACATTCTTTCAGACAACATTTCAAAAAGAGCCTCTGTTCCCAGTTGGATAACCTGGACGTGTGGCCTGCAAGCAGGTCTCGGGGTTCTTTTTCTCCCTCTGTTTGTGTGTGTGTGTTTCCTCCCCCCACCCCACCCGCAAATATGCAAATTTGTTCTTGGAAAATCGTCAACTAATTTGACTCCGTTCGGGCTGACACGGTCCTGCTTGCCAACAGTTACATTTGCATACTAATTCGCCTCCCCTCCATTCATTGAGAAATGGATGCAAATGATTTATCATTCGCCTGATACCTTGCCTGAATGTAGAAGGGGAAATTGCTGCAGTGTCTCAGGCAGCGTGAAGAAAGCCTCTCAAAATGGGCTTGCCTCTAATCTAATCGCATCAGCTATAAAGCACCTGGTTCTTTATAGCCCCCCCTTGCCCCCCCGATCCAGCTCCCAAGTTCTCTATAGGGTTACTACAATTCCCTTCATATCAACTAGTTGTGTGTTCTAGATGGAGAACAGTAGTATATACACTGTACATTTCAAGCCTTTAGGAGGGCCAGCTGCAATTGGCTCTGATCATCGCTGCTGTTAAAAAAAAAACACCTGCCCCATAATTTGACTTTGCAAAGGCCTAGTGTAAAAGGTAAAAGGTGAAGGACCCCTGGGCAGTTAAGTCCAGTCAAAGGCAACTATGGGGTTGCGGCGTTCATCTCGCTTTCAGGCCAAGGGAGCCGGCATTTGTCCACAGACAGCTTTCTGGGTTGTGTGGCCAGTGTGACTAAACCGCTTCTGGTACAATGAAACACCGTGGCAGAAGCCAGAGCACATGGAAATGCCATTTACCGTGTGGTGCTGTGGTCTAAACCTTTTGGGCTTGCTGATCGGAAGGTTGGCGGTTTGAATCCCCGTGATGGGGTGAGCTCCCGTTGCTCTATCACAGCTCCTGCCAACCTAGCAGTTCAAAGCACACCAGTGCAAGTAGATAAATAGGTATCGCTGTGCCGGGAAGATAAACGGCGTTTCTGTGCACTCTGGTTTCCATCACAGTGTCCTGTTGTGCCAGAAGCGGTTTAGTTCTGCTGGCCACATGACCCGGAAAGCTGTCTGTGGACCAACGCCAGCTCCTTCAGCCTGATGGCAGAGATGAGAGCCTTTGAGTGGACTTAAAGGGTTGTAAAGACTGTGGAGAGAATAACTGGGTGCACTCTTCCCACCTTGGATCAAATCTATGCTTCCAGGTGCCATAAGAAAGCTGCAGAGATAGCGCAGGATAGTGCGCACCCCAGAAATGATCTCTTTCAGCTTCTGCCTTCTGGAAGAAGGTACAGGGTTACAAACCGCCTGAGAAACAGTTTCTACCCAAATGTGATTTTGGTTTTAAACGCAGTGTAAGGAGTCTCTATGGGAGTATACTGTATTTAAAAATGGGGTATCAAAGTTTTTAGAGGGCTAACCAGGTTGGGATAGCTGGGATAGCAGGCTTGTTGGGTTTGGAATGTTTTATGTAGATTTTTCAATTTCATTGTTCTGTATGGGACAATGACAATAAAGATTATTGATTATCGATTATCGATTAACCATCCAGGGGTCCTCCATTTCTCATCCCACTCCCCCTGCCTTTAAGATCAGCACTCCACATTTCCATTTCAGTTTGATAGATATATATCATACACACACACACACACACACACACACACGTCCTCACAAAAATTCATCAGCATTTTAGTATGAATTTACCCTAATAAACACAAATTGCAAAGCAATTGTATATTCCTGCATGGCAGGAGGTTAGACTAGGTGGCCCTTGGAGACCCAAACCAATGTTGTCAAGTTACAGGAAAGGAGATTCTTACTAAATATCAGGAAGTACTTTTTGTAAGAGCTGCTTGATAGTGGGACAGACTCCCTCAGGAGGTGATGGACTCTCCTTCCTCGGAGGTTTAATTAATTAATTAATTAATTAATTTTAAAAAATTGGTTTTCAAAATTAAAAAAAAATTGGTCCAAATTATTTAAATTTAATACAATTTCTTTTAAAAAATTAGGTTTCCCCTCTCCTGTTGCAAACATATGTCCGTTACTTCCTGACGTAGCCGCTTCATTCTTCTTTAATCTCCTCTTCATCCTTCTCTTGATGTTAATCCATTCTCACACGGCTGACCTTTCTAGTTCCCTTACTCAGCACCTCTGTAACTTTTCAAAAATATAAAATCCATTTCACATGTGTAGTCTTCATAAACATTTTCCCAGACCTGGTGTGTTGAGACAGATAGATTGTTTACACAGTTTTGTCTACTTGAAGAAGCCATGGTCTGATCAGAAAATTACAAATATTTAGGTTACAAAACAATAAAAATAAAGAAAAATTAAGTTTGCAAAACAATAATTACCATGTGGTTAAGGTAGATCAACGTGTCAGTGTCCACTTATCCCCAGTGTAAATATGACATATCGGAAATTGAAAGATAACTCTAGCATGTACACGAAAATCGATTTCAGATTTGAAATCAGCATTGAAAGAACATATAAGAACAGTTGAAAAATCTCATGCAACAGAAAATGAAAAAAAGTTTGTTCCCCAGTGTAATTGCCATCCTCCTTTGTTCAGTTCTCTTCAATGTTTACCTTTCTTGGAGGTTTTTAAGCAGACATTGGATGGCCATTTGTCTTGTATGTTTGAGCTGAGATTCCTGCATTGCAGAGGGTTGGGCTAGATGACCCTCAGGATCCCTTCCAACACCATGAATCTGTATTAAACAGTACAGATTCATTTCCAAAGCTGTGGCAGTAAAACAATAGAATAGCTATAGAACAATACGACAACAGCATGTCCGAACAAAAATACATCTGTGAAAAGCTCTTTGAAACAGGTGGATTTTGAGTGCTTCAACTGTTGTATTCATATAAGCCAGTATCCAAATAGCCTAGCCTTATCTAGGAACAGGAAAAAGAAAGAAGCAGTTTCTGATGATGAACAGAATAATACCGCAGAAGCCTTGGCTTCATCTGCCGCTTATTTCCCCAGTCCAGCACTGGGTCATCAGGTCTGCAGTCGCTGCCTCGTTTTGATTCCCAGATCAAATTGCGGATGGAAATGTCCCTGCAAAACGACCGTGATGCTCCCTTTGTCCTTTGCATCAGAGAAGCACCATCCATTTCTAAACCACAATGTGGGAGACAGTTCTTGATTTGGATACCATGTCAGGTTGCCCAAACTAGTCACAATATCCAGAGAGAGAGAGAGAGAGAGAGAGATGGATGGAGATGCTTTCTATTGCTTTTTAGAAACTAGGTACAGTACTTTCCATAAATCCAGACTGTCACTATTTGGGAATGAGACTCAATCGCATACAACCCAATTCAGGTTGCAGCATTAAAGATGATCTGGAGCTCTTGCACAACAAACCTGCCCTCCGCCAGAATGGGACTCTTTGCAGTTGTAATGAGCATTGTGAGTTTTGCAGGAGCTAGGCCCTGGCTGTTCTGACTTTATCTGAATCGAGTCGACAGGTACAGTCAGGTGATGAGATGCACTACAGCTGGGAGCAAGCCAAGGAGGACTACATAAGACCTGCATTTCACACTTCGTCACTATGGGCCCTACTAAAGCAAACCGTCTAATTGGTCAGCGTCTAAAAGATATCGAGCATCAGCACAACCTGGCCACTATAAGGAAATTCTGACCTTGGTATGTTCATTTCCCACCTCCCCATTTTGATTCTCTGGCCCCATATCTGTACAAACTTATTTTCTCAAAATACAGACGGGCTTTTACACTTGCAAGACTGGATGTTTTGCCATCTGCGGTACTTGAGGGTCATTTCCAAAAGATCCCGCCTGAGAAACGTCTTTGCCCCTGTGGAGATGGTAGCACCGAAACAGTGGCACACGTCTTCCTGTCTTGCACTCTCTACAGAGACCTGGGGAACGAGATCATCGCCCCACTCGTACTAAGCATCCCAGGGCGCTCAGCCACTGCCACCATGTCCTTTCTTCTATCAGATCAAAAAGAGCAGATAACAGCAAAGGTTGCTAGGTTCATAGCTGGGGCAATCAAAATAAGGGCCACTAACTGACAGCTGATTCAGGACTTTAAATTGTGCTTTTGTATCAAATGTCCTTTTCTGCGTATACTGTAATGTTTTATTGTTGCTATGGCCATTGGCTAATGCAAATAAGGCTTTATCTTATCTTCGCCCTTGGTCTTTGCCACAGCAACGCGATCTTCTGCTGACCTGTAGCTTATTCCTGTGATCCTTGCCTGGCTGGACTTCTCACCTGCCTAGACTCCGATACTCTTCTGGGCCTCCTCTTCCCTCTGACCTTTGTTGGGTTTGTTGTTGCTTCCTGACCATGGACCCGCCAGTTTGACTGCCTCTTCTCCCGCTTCCCCCATTGAAGTTGTTGTTTGTGTGAGGCGCATGATGCAAACATGTTGTTACGACATAAGAGAAAGCAGCTTTGTGCTAGGAAACACGGCGAGGCGATAATAATAATAAAAAAATACAGTGTGTGTCTGTGTGTGTTACAAAAAGGAAATCTTGCAACCTCAATTTAGAAAGGGCTGCTTCTCTCCCGTGTCAGCAGATTCAAAGCTTAGTGGGTCAAATGTGAAGGGCAGAAAATTGATTTAGGTGCAGTAATAAAAATCTACATTGGTAGCGATAGAAGAGGTACTGGCCATACTCTGAACTTAACTCTTTCCTAGGGAGCAGGAGAAATTTGATTCAGTTTGTCTTTAAAGGGGGAACCTACCTAATTCGCTTTCCAAACCAGTATGTGAACTGAAATGCAGGCATCGTTCAAAAACTCTGCTTTTTGTGAATTTTGCAGTGCAGTCCTCCTGCCCAGTAATATGTACAAATATTCAAGTGGTATGGTGAAATGAGCAAAAAATAATAATGCATGTGTTGGAAAATAACATTCACTAGTGCATTATAATGGGGAAATTTGTTTTTTTGGAAATGTGTATATTAGACAATAGTGCATACAAAAGTGTGTATATTAGAAGAAATTCACATTAAAATGCTGGTGCATTTTCATACAGACTTAAAAAAGAAAGAATGCAAATGGGTGTGGAAATACGGAGAACTGAATTTAGGATTGTAAAAATGAGAGAAACTGAAATGGGCAGATTCGCTCAGTCAGTAGCGCATGAAACTCTTAATCTCAGAGAGTTGTGGGTTCCAGCCCTACATTGGGCAAAAGATTGGGGTTGCAGGGGATGACCATCGTGGTCCCTTCCAACTCTACAGTTACATGATTCTATGATTTCTTCATCAGTTCTCTTACTGCATTGGTCCAGATGGTGGGACCACTTTTGAATGGGGCGCAAACTCTGTTCCTGTTCATGTTGACCACCTGCCACCTTAGCGTACCAGAGATCCCATTCCCCAGACAATAGATCTGTCCCCAAAATGCATTGCCGTGGGTGGGTGCTGAGCATGGCTTCCATTCAAAAGCACTGCTGTCACCCACCTGCAGGTGAAATGTCCATTCCAGGGAATGGCCCTGAGGTCAGGCCAGTGGGGGTCCCTTCTGAGCCAGAAGAAGAAGAAGAAGAAGAGTTTGGATTTGATATCCTGCTTTATCACTACCCAAAGGAGTCTCAAAGCAGCTAAGATTCTCTTCCCTTCCTCCCCCACAACAAACACTCTGTGAGGTGAGTGGGGCTGAGAAACTCCAGAGAAGTGTGACTAACCCAAGGTCACCCAGCAGCTGCATGTGGAGGAGCAGGGAAGCGAACCCGGTTCACCAGATTACGAGTCTACCACTCTTAACCACTACACCACACTGGCTCTCTTGGGCAATTCCCAACATGGCTGACCTCCTATGCACAGCTGTGGAGCTTCGCATTGGCATCAGAGGGCTTCTCCTCTGGCATGAGTGCCCCAAAACAGGCTTCCCTCTCCATTAGCAACACAGTGTTTCCACTTCTTCCAAAGGCCCCTTAGCCACCCATCCTTTGGCTTGGCATTAGGCTTGCTCCCAAATTGATTGTATTATAGCGTAAGATTTCATGGCCTGGCACTCGCTTCACATATATTGGTTTGATGGGCAGTGTTAATTCCTCCCCCTCCCCCTCCCCTGCTTTGTAATAGAAAAGGCTGTTTATGTGCTGTATTTAGCAGATGTTTGATGCCTCTCGAGTACATAGACCAGCATGTCAGAACTCAGCCCAGAATCGATTGCTTTACAACTACATTCTGAACCCGGCAAATAAGAAAATGCTGACAGGTCTTTAACTGGAGCACTGCTGCTGAACATCAATGTAATTAGCTGGGCATATCAGACCGCGCATATGGGCTGTCCATCATCTCTGGCAAGAAGAAGAAGAGAAAAAGAAATGTGTACAATCTGACCATAATGGTTTGGAGATTATTATATATATTTTCCTGGTTTGCTTTTTAAAAGCATGCCTTGGACTCTTTGTGGGAGGCAGGGTAGTGTTTTGGACGCAGACGTGCGGAGAGAGATTATTATTATTATTATTTCAGGAAGTTTTTAATGTTTGGCATTTTATCATGTTTTTATATGTGATGGAAGCTGCCCAGAGTGGCAGGGGCAACCCAATCGGATGGGCGGGGTATAAATAATAATATGGTAATTATCATAAGAATCATAACTGAGACAAGTTTTTCTTTCCCTCTCCAACTTGAGGCTGTCCAGTGAAGCTAAAGATTGTGAGACTTAGCACAGACAAAAGAAACTACCGTATTTTTCACTCTATAAGACGCACCAGACCACAAGACGCACCTAGTTTTTGGAGGAGGAAAACAAGAAAAAAAATATTCTGAATCTCAGTGTGGTGTAGTGGTTAAGAGCGGTAGACTCGTAATCTGGTGAACCGGATTTGCTTCCCCGCTCCTCCACATGCAGCTGCTGGGTGACCTTGGGCCAGTCACACTTCTCTGAAGTCTCTCAGCCCCACTCACCTCACAGAGTGTTTGTTGTGGGGGAGGAAGGGAAAGGAGAATGTTAGCCGCTTTGAGACTCCTTCGGGCAGTGGTAAAGCGGGATATCAAATCCAAACTCTTCTTCTTCTTCCCACTTCACTGTCCAGGGATGTCCCTGAGCTGTATCTCATTTGCTCCAAAAGCATCAAGGATAGCCTAAGGTCAGCAAGCTGAGCACGTCAAAACTTTTGATGTAAGCCTCTGACCTGCCATGGAAATCAATGGTGTAGCTAGCCTCTCAGTGCGCCTTAGGCTGCAAGGCATGTCAGGAGAGCGTACTAGGGCAGGCGTCAACAAAAACACTGATTTGCCTGAAATGTGCATATGCTCATGTATATGTATGGATGCAAATGTAGAAATAATGGCTATAATTTAAATAGAAATGCAATGCATCTCTCCATAATGGGGAAGACTATGTGCTGGTGCCCTGCATACCTGCTCAGTTTGCTTCCCAGGTGTTCACCATTGATGGGCAATTACCAGGTCCTTCTTTCTGTTCAAACCAGACCTGGATTTCATCATAGAATTGTAGAGTCGGAAGGGACTCTACACAGGTGGCCATCCAACCTCTGCTTAAAAACCTCCAAGGAAGGAGAGTCCACAACCTCCTGAGGGAGACCATTCCACTGTCAAATAGCTCTTACTGTCAGAAAGTTCTTCCTGATGTTCAGTTGGAATCTCCTTCTAACTGAGCAGCCTTTCAGACAGAGGATGTCATCAGATAGAGAAATGTCCTCTGTAAAGTAGGACACACAGTTGCCCGACTTACAAGCCGGCTTTCAGTTAGGGCAAACATCAGGCCGCATTTGTGTCATACATTTCAAACACCATAATACCACTTTAAACAGTCGAGGCTTCCCCTAAAGAATTCTCTTTTTTGTGCTTATTTCATATATATGTGGTGTGTGTGTGTGTGTGTGTGTGTGTGTGTGTGTTTTAACATATCATTTTCAAATAATTATACAATTATTTTTGGACTTCCATCAATCACATCTGAAAATTTTCCACTCTAATCACTTAGTGTACATTTCTTACTTTCATTATTACCTTTAAATCTCATAACTAATCTCTCTTCTTTCTCTGTTTTGCAATATTTCATATATTTCTCCTTACAAAACTTCTTGCAGTCCTGCTAGCGTAATTCGTTGATTACAGTGGCTCTTCAAATAGTTCATATATTTCTTCCAATCTTCTGCAAATCTCTGGTCCCGCTGGTTTCGAATCCTTCCAGTCATTTTGTCTAATTCCGCGTAGTCCATTAATTTTGTCTGCCATTCTTCTTCCCCTAAAGAATTCTAGGAACTGCAGTTTGTTGATGATGCTGAAAGTTATTAGGAGAGCTACTATTCCCAGAAAGGTGTAACAGTCAATCCTTCCTCCCAGGGAGCTCTGGAAATTATAGCTTTGTGGGGTCTCCTAAGAGCTTTCCTCACCCTTAGCGAACCACAGCTCCCAGAATCCTTTGGGGGAAGCCATGACTGGAAGTGGTATCATACTGCTTTAAATGTGTGGGGTGAATGTACCCTATATCTTGCCTTTAACCCATTCCCTCTGTTATGTTTCCTTGCTGGCTCTGGCTGAACAGTGGGAGCGGGATGGAAGAGCGAACTTAAAACCAGCAAATGTTCTTCAAGTTTCAGGCAAATTCACTGGGGTGGAATTAAGAAGGAATATGATCCAGCAGATTTAAAATGTCTCAGAGTGCTGAAAGTGACATAATCTCAGCAGCAAAAAAACCCAACAACCAGGCCTTCCTGAGTGGAAGAGGGGGAAAGAATGGGATTTCATCCGGGTCTAGGAAAATGGACATGACATTTCTAGTGATACAGTGCTTTCTCTCCTTACTCAGTGAACAGTCTGCAAATAAGACTGAACAGGCCTGAAATAATAGCTACGTACATTTGGACCTCCTTTCGTGTTAAGTGTCATAGCAATTCTTAACATTGCTTCCCAAGGGTGGTCTTTAGAAATCCGGTTCCTTGTTACGGTGTTGAGGAAACCAGACCCAAATGATTACAGCGCATTTGCTTTCTCTCAATTTTAAGCCCAGCTTTATGCCAAGAGGGGCATAACAAATTATGTGGCTGTTTGCAAAAGGGACTGGAAGACGGATTTTACTAGCCCAGAGCTGGAAAGATGACAAAGTCCCAGAGAAGAATGGCAGACTAAGTTGATGGATTATGCCAAAATGGCAAAACTGCCTGGAAAAATTAGAAATCAAGATGAACAAAACTTTGACGAGGAATGGGGGAAATTTATAACTTACCTTAAAAACCACTGTAAACAGCTGAAATCGTTAGCGGGATTTTAATAACACTTGTAATGTAACAGATATACGACTGAAATGGAAACATAAAATTTTAGATTATTTTAAACAGATGCAGTAAGAATACTATAATAATAGGGCCCACAAAGGAGAGGTGGGAAGTCAAGGGGATTCACGGGAATCCTGTATGTAGATAATAAGATGAATGTTACGAATGTAAACTTTAATATGGAAAATCAAATAAATATGTTAAAACAAAAG